GAATTGTCAATATATATATTCTTCCAAATCATTTATTTAAAGATGCTCCTTAAAATAATTTAAATGTGTCACAAACAAAAATAATATATCGATAAACCTTTTCTTTGGCTGCCATGGAGTAATGGAACTTGTTAGCAATTTCCTTCCCTCTCTTTCCTCCTCTCTTCTGTCCTTTTTCGCTCTCTCTCACTTGGGATTACATCCCCCTGCCTCCAGTAGGGATAGTTTCATATCTCTTCACTAAATGCTAACAGTTCCATTAAGCACAACGGAGGACTCATTTAGAGGTCACATTTGTTTCGCTCAACTTCCCTTGTCATCCGCATACCAACCGAGTGGGTGTCTCTTTCAGCTTGGATTCCTGTTATCTGACATGACCTTTCTGCTTTGAACTAATTGGTAAATTGCTGTGGACTTTTTCATTCTAATTCATCTCCCTTTAATGACATGGCTTTACAAAAATGTCCCTATTCTATTTTTTTTTATTTTCGCACTGTGTATTAGTTGTTCTCAAGCATGCCTGCAAAATCCACAGTGTTTCATTTATGATATCATAGTATGCGCCATAATACTAGCTACAAGGCATCAGGCTGGTGGTATTTTTGCTTGTGGCCAGTTTAAACATGACAACCAAATAATTCAATTTAGCCAGTGAATCCATAAACCTACGTGACATCTCATTTATGGCCTTGATAATCCACTGCCCCAAGTCACGATTAGCTTAGTAGCCAGCTTCACATTATTTCCGCAACAGTTTATGGTGCAGCGTTTTAATAAACTAATAATATCTTCCAGAATGCCCAACAAGGTCACTGCAAACCAGACATAGGATGGAGAACCTTTATGTTAGCGAGGTGTACATTTTATTACCGTATGCTGAGGGAGTTTTGAGAATACAGTCAAGGCGCAACAGAAACAATGTGTGCATTTCCAATAGAAAATAACCTTATGAATCAAAACAAAAGGAAAAGGCAGGTCTGGTATGAGCTCCAAGAAGTCAGCATACAGGTTTAAACAAGTTTTTCAATGTTAAGTTGTAATAAAATAGAAGTTTTTCAGCCACCAGCACCAACTAGTTTATGGCTTCATCTCCACACAGTAATAGAAGTGCAAAACATGTCTGAGGCCCATGTGCCAAACAACGTCCCCAGCCTGTATTGCAACACCTTATGTGCCCTACTAGAGATGGGAGAACAATGTTCAGGTGCCCTAGGGTCTCCTTACTAAACATTTGAGTGCACTTAGCCTGCCTGGCATACATCCTGCCAGCTTCTACAAGTCACCACCAGGTGGGGATCACTTAACAGCTCAGGTCTTCTATTTACCCAAGTATCCGAGTCATTTGGTTGTAAATCTGACAATATGATTACAAATGAGTCAATCCATAACCACAAAATTCCCTAGTGTAATACCCACTTATGAACATGTTTAGGTTAGAACATGGTGGTAGGAGATATAGTAAATATTTCTTATCAACCAAGTGATATCACCTTATATACTTATATCTATACATGTGCCCAAACTGCTCGCCTTGTCCAAGTGTGTGACCCTAACATTTCTGTCATAGCCAAAACATAGGTTATGGCAGGTCCCATGAGTTCCTATTCTTGACTTTACATCATTTGGTGATTCATCACCATTCGTCATATTTATCACATTTATTTATATCGGCAAAACACATTGATGCTAATTGAAATATATTAACCAAAAAGTCAGAGGTTTGCTTTTAATAGGGCACTGAAGGTTTAAGCTGCACAGCCAGTCAGACAGAAAAAAAACTGCAGGAGCAAATGCTTCCCACTGGCTGCCACTTACCACTAATGTTAGAAAAATGATAAATTAGTTCCGGCATGCTGTCTGGAGTCTATGTGTTCACGTGGGTGTGTATGTCTGCCAGTGAATGCTTCCTTCCTGTAAAGTGTTGTGTCGCATGCCAGGAGTTCACAGTGTGAACAGATGTTAGTCAGTATTGCCCTGGGTTTCTGCACCACAGTCAGGCATTTTTTAGGGTCCTCGGCTCTGAGGAGGAGTCCGTGGAGATGCCTGAATTGCTTTATCGAGCGGAACACAACTAAGGACACGCAGGCTCACAGCAGCTGCCAAGAACACACACAGACATGCGAACACAAACACAGCATTTGCTCCAAGCATGTGCAACACAAACCCACAAACAGCTGGGATACAAAAAATCCACACATTTGGTATAATAATATAAACAAACACACACAACTCTGTAGAATAAGCACTCTTAAGTTAACTTTCACCCCAGCATATTTCTTACAGAGTAATGGCTTAACTGCTGACTGAATATGGCAGCTGTAGCTTGAACCCCACAGGAAACCCTGCTCCAGACAATATGGACTATCAGAACTGGAATAATCTAAAATTTGAAAGGATAACGAGAAAACACGTTTTAATACAATCTCCTTTTAATACAACTCTCATGACAGTTTCGTTTTTAAAATGTAATACTTTGCTTCATTACAATAACACCTACCAACACTTTCCATATTTAGCTGCTGCTTGTCACTGAGACGCAGATGAAGGAAGAGAAAATAACTGGTGATGTTGAAGACCATGGGAAAGGTTTAAGCTGTCTCTTTAGATAGCATCATATTCTCTCTGATCATTCACAGTTATACTGCAAAGACTAATATCTATACTTAGGCTTGAATGCACCCAAAGAAACTGGCTCTTTTGGAATGAAAGATAATGCCAATCAAAGTGACAGACAAAATAAATAAAAATGGTCAAACTCAGAGGTGTGTTTATACATAAGTACATAAAGGGGGACAAACGCACATCACAAATGCACTGATTTGACACACGCTGACACATAAGGATGGATGTGGACTCACTGTCATATAGTGAGCTGTCAGCACACAAGCACTAGCTAAGCCAATGCTCTATATCTGATGTGATAATCATGACATAACTGTGAGATGACAGCAGACAGAGTATTGGTGGCCCAGACACATGCATTTGCAGGCATAAATGCACCAAACAGGTGTTCAGATAAAACAAGAGTAAATGTTGCAGAAAGTAAGATTTTTGCTGAATTTTAATTTGAAGACTCAAGCCAAGAAAATGTAATTCAGTTCAATTCAGTTGTAGTTGTAAAATGCCACAACAGTTGCAAGTATATGTGTGAGAGTGAAAGGGCCTATGGTAGTTTTAGTCAGGAGATAAAGATGCTCCAAAAGAAAAAACTCTCTGAAAAATATTTGCATATATGTAGACATCCCATCCACATGGCTCCATAGTTCCTAAAAAGTATTTGAAACCACATATAATGATGAAAAATAGGGTATTTTTTTCTTTAATGGCTTGACATGAATTACCAATCCAAACAAATTATAGTATCAATAGTAACAACAGCAGAGCACTTTAAGGTAATGCAAGTCATCAGATATTATTACAATATGTAATTGTACCATCTTGATATACTGTGCTGATTTCCATCAACCCATTTTCTTAACTGGTTAACTAAGTGAGGGTTTCAGTAGGGCTGGTGCCTATCTCAGATGAGAGGCAGGGTACACCCAGGAAAGGCTCTCAGCCAATCACAGGTCTAAAACACAGCGACAGTTATTCATGCTCAAATTCAGTTAATTAGCAAATTGATTATTTAATTAATTTTCTCACAAAAGCACATTGAGGTTCCAGAGCTGAAGGTTTGAACCGTGTTGTCTCGTTGTTGCTGTGAGGTGAGACTGTGACACTCCAATGTAAAAGTTACAAATCTCAGTTTCAGTCTTTGATGATGGCACTGGGGTTATTTTTGAAAGACTGTCAAGTTATATTTATGAGTAACCAAATTCAAACACTACCCTAGATAGGAAGCCTCTGAATTTATCCATAAAAAGAGTTCCATCTTAGTCTCAGCTCAAGTAAATAAAGTTCAAAAGTCTCTTTTTTTGCTGCACAGTTTGTCTTCACCCCTCAGGTTTGCGTACTTATGCAACCAGCTGCCTGAGGGAGTCAGATGGATGTTGAATGCATATGAACTTGACTCTCTGACATGACAGCAAATTTCATACAAACTCAACAAAACACAACTAAACAGGCACACAAAAACCCAGAACACACAAAAAAAACTATTTTCACCACCTTTCCACTAAACTTAACTTTTTTTTTCAAAAGTGAAAAGTGATGTAAATGCAAAAAGAAGCTCATTCTGTTTGAAGAAAGGTTCAGATACTCTTTATACTCGTTATCTCTTTATGTTAAGCGCTCTCTTTTCTCTTTTTTATCTAAAAATAATTACTGAACACAAAGGTCAGACCTACGTGTATGACTGAGGTCGTATTTCAATGGGTTTTGGGACTAATATGTTGATAGATATTATAATAATATAAAAAGCTTTCAATGGAGCATAATCAAAATAAAGTGGTTTTGTGGCCATGTAAATATGTGGGGGAAGGTGTGTATTGTCATACCTTCATGTAAAGACAAAGCATTTGTGATGCATAAACACTGATAAACACTCCCAAAGCTTCCCTCCATGCACCCATGCAGAAATCATCCTTGATGTGCCTGCTGTACGACGTGTACAGTGAATGTGGTTAAACTGTGTGTTATGTGTGAAAGTCTACACAGCCATGTGGTACAGTGTTATTATTTCATACACCCATCTATAGTATGTGTGCAAACCCCCCATTAACCAAGTGTTAATTACTCCATGCTCAAGTATGTATTTAAAAATAATAATGGGACAGGTGTGTACTTTTTTGTGATTGATTTAACCTTTAAAGTGAGTGTCGTCCCAATCTATCCAGCTTACAAATGCACCCAACAGCAGGAGGAATGCTGTCCTTTACTAGCAGCATTATTTTATAAGGCAAAGAAGAAAATGGGCATACTGTAGTGCATTCATGTCATATTTGAAGTTGAAGATGTACAAAGGTGACATACTACAAACACACACACACACACACACACACACACACACACACACACACACACACACACACACACACACACAGAGGTTTTCTTGGTACCTAATGCTGCTCATGCTGCCTGCTTCTGATCCCAGCTTGCATCTCTCCAGCTGGGTGGCAACAATCTGACGCTCAGCCTCAAGTTCCCTGGTCAGACGCTCAAACTGAAGCTCCTGATGGAAGACATAAAAAGAAATTGCGTGTTAGGCGGAACATGAGAGAGAATGAGAGAGAGGAAGAAAGAAAGAGACAGAGAGCACTCGGGGTCTGCAGAGGAAGTCAGGTATTATAGGTCATCGAAACAGCTTATGGCTGGAAGACGGCTCTAAAAAAGTTAAAATAATTGTGCTATCAAACTTGACTGACAGGTGAGAAAAATGTGTTAGGCAATGTGTAGGCAGAGTGTTGTGTTGAAAGTGTTCTAAATATGTGAGCAAAGAATCGCTTCAATTCCAGCGACTGTGTGGTCATGAATGTGAAGATATTTGTGGAATTAATTAAATGTATCGCTCCCAAATAAAGTGTGTTCCTATTTGGCAGGTTAGACAGTTAACAATGTCATTTACTGAAAAAAAATATCTACTGGTGAGATTCTGTCTTTTTTAATAAATTTTAGGTATTTGTATTTTGAAACCTTTGCATTTAATGAAAAAATGCATTACTGCAGATGAAATTCTGTCACAAATCCTGACAGTAAAACAACCTGAGTCCTGACAACTTTTCAATATAATTAAATTTACTCTCATATTATCACAGCCACATTAAAAAAAAGAGCTTTATGTGTACTCTGTGGATTTAATGGTTCTGTTGCTACACATAGAGAAGGCTTTTCAGTGAGTACAGTTTGGTGGGTTGCAGGTTACTGTCAGGATTTTAAGACAGAAATCGATGGGGAGAACTGCTTGTGCCGATTATATATCACTCTTAACCAAAACTTGCCTGCGTGTGCATGTGTGTGTTGATGCATTAGCTATTTAAATTCCCGTTCTGTCAGTCGTCATGATCTCCAGTCACTAAACACCCTGTATCCTCCATTTCCACACATACCTGTTTCTGTGGTAGAATCACTATGGTGATCACTCTGAGGTTTTTTTCAGCTTTTCTGACAGCTTTGTGTTAATACTTAAACACTGAAAGAAAGATCTATTTGCTTTCACTGGGATAGGGGCTTGTATCCATTTGTGGAACTGTAGCCTAACGTTTGTATTGTTAACTGACAAATACAGTACAATGCACACACACACACACACACACACACACACACACACACACACACACACACACACACACACACACACACACACACACGTATGTTTCAGAGGTGTAAGTATTCTGAGGTCCATTTTAGACCCATTCCATTTTGTTAATAACTCACTCAGTTTCAGCCACCTCTAAGATTTGCAAAGTAAGGTAATGCTGGAAATTTGAGCAGAGTCTATTAAACCCTCTGGGCCTGTAATTCCAATTTACGACTTTGTTTTACAGCAAGGTGCCTCTCTTCAAAGCTCTGCTCTGTTCTGCTCCCCAAAGAGACTGCTTTGTCACCTTGTTTGCCATAGATGCAACTTGTTTAAATCCTCAAGGTGCAAAAATGCAAATCCCTGTACCGAAAGTAGCATTATGCTAATTGATGATGTATTATGCCTCAATGGTAGAGTATCTTAAACACCTTCTGAGGTAACATGGTAATGTCTGAATGCTAAACCCAAAGAGAAACCTGTTAGGCAAGTTACAGTTAAATTATGCATAACCCTTAGTCACAGCTTTATTTCATTCATATCCCTCCGTCTTAGGCACTGCTATGTTAGTGATATATAATAACATTTTTTTAATCTTAATTTATTTCATCTGTTTTTTATTTTTTTCATCCAATCAATACTGTTCTTCTCATGTTTTCTGTTTTATTTATTTCATTTGTATTTCATGTGTATTTTTTGCCTTGTGTAAACTGCTATGGTGTTCTTTATTATGTCTTTTATTCATCCTTCTGTAAAACACTTTGGTCCATTGTGGTTGTTTTGAAGCACTTTACAAATAAAGCTAGTATGGTATGGCATCAGAAAGTTTCCCATTACTGAATTGGCCAAAGGACAGTTTGCGTTTACCAGATGACAGAGCTCGGCTGACTTGTCTAAGTACATGCCATTATATATTCTTATTAGCTAGAGCTACAAGGCAGCAAAAAGCATACTTACAGCTTATTACAAAAACATTTAGGAGTTTGTGCTCAACTAAAATTATGAACAGAATGCCTTTCTTTTATACGGTCAGTAAACGCAGCAATGACAAAGCTCTTGGCAATCAGAAATTGTCAATTAAAAGGAGAGCTGGCTGCACTCATGCAAAAGTTTGGGCAACTCTAAGCAAAACTTTCAATTGGTATGCGGGTATAAGATCAACTAAATTTATAGTTGGGAAAGCCTCTTCAAAGGAACTCCTTAACCTTCTACGTGTTTGTATAATTAAAAGATGTAAGCTATCAGAAATGATGGCGGTGAAGATGAGCTTTGGAGTTCTACACCTCGATAAGGTCTCAATAAAGTTAAAATAGAACTTTTTGGCCTTAATGAGCAAAGGTGTGTTTTCAGAAAAAAAAAACGTATGTTGGAAGTAACACCTTTGGAACCATTAAGCACGGGGGTGTTTGAGGGTTGTGTTGCACTCGGTGACACAGGGAATATTCAACTTGTAATTAAATATTAACAAATTCTGACAGCAAACATCACAGTGGCTTAAAAAGTTAAAGAGTGTGTCCCTATTCCAAACCAGTCCTTACACCTTGACATGTGTTAGTCCAAGTGGAGTGGTGGTGAAGGATTTGTTAATTAATCCTTGGAGAAAAAATATAACAAACATGTGTCTTTCTTTCATGTATATCAAATTATATAGTAGGGAATATATATTATTTACAAGCTTCTCTTTACCATCTGTATTTGCTGGAAACATTAAAACTGGCCAACTGGCTCAATGACTACATTTGCTAATTACTATGGATGCAGGGAAAGGATAACTGTTTTGATCCACTGGTAAAGCATTTGTATTTATAGTTGTTTGTAGCAATTGCAACAAAACTTAACTCTGAAGCCTGATTCTTGATCACAACATTGTGTTGTGTGACATGCCTACTTGTAGCCTCATCACCATTCATACCGCTGCTTGAGTGCTAGCTGGACTGGAACCAGAATTACTGTGTGTAGGCAGAAGGTCTGCAATCCAGACTGAAATTGAACAGAAATAGTAGGTTTTCTACAGTAGGATAATGACCCTAAACACAGCTTGAATCCAGCCATGGCCCTCACAGTCTCCCTAACTGTAGTATTGCAGAAAAAATTACATAAGACAACAAGCTGAGATTGTGGCATGAGATGATCAATACAGGTTGGCGATGTTACCACTGTTATTACAAGGCTTAAGTGTTTAGCAACTTAAAACGAGATGGTCCCTGTAATGTTTTTTAAGAATACATGTTGTATGTACTCACTCCTCCTCCCCAAAAAAACATTTAATGATCCAAATCCATAATATAACAGCTGAGTAAACTGGGCATTTTTCTGCAACAAAAGGAACCCTGCTCTGCTCACAACGTGTAAATGTAACTAGAAAGAAAAAGAAAAGTAGAAAGAAAAATAGACGAAGACTAAGTCTTCTAAAAGTAGAATGAATTACAGTAAGTTGTGTTCTAAAACACAAAAACTAAAAGGGTTTTAAAAGATTTTGTACATGGTCATTCTCTTTAAAGTGATCCGAATAAATCTGAAGACAAAGATTGGTTGTTTTTCTATACATTATTACAACTTTCCTTAAGTTTTGTATCTGCTGGAGAAGATGTATCCTCTTTAACAAGCTTTAAAATGTTTCTCGAAATAAAGCTAGTTGGGAATCACTGAATAACAAAATTTCAGAAGCTTAATTTATATGATGAACATTCAAACTTCATCATCTGATTTCTCTTGCTTAAGTCCAAAGAAACATACTAAACATTTTATTTTGTATGATGGACATTACCTTGATATACTCCTGGACCCCAGCTCACCAGATCCAAAAATGATCAGATGCTATGTTTTGGTTCTCCTTATGCTTTCTCTGAATATGCCTGTCAAAATGCAAAAGATGTAAAATGACACTATACTGTGTAAGCTTTGTGCATGTGAGCCATCGCATCCCCCTCAAGAACAAAGAGGCGACACAAATCAGCAGCTGCAGTCAGCCACAAAGGTCTCTATGGTAACAGTACAGACCCCTCCACACCTTCGACATTATAAATTAGGCCCTGGCTCCTCCTACATGCAGCTCCTGCCCTTTCGCATACCTGAACTACTCTCAGAGAAATGTCTGCACCTTCATTTAGTCGCCCACAGAAAGCAGACGGTGGAAGGGGTGGGCGATCGTCATAAGTGTATTTACAGAAGACTAAAGCATATATACTGTGTATAAATATAGTTTTTAGTGCAGATGCAGATGTTCATCACCAACATCCAGTAAACAGCAGAAGCTTCCTTTTTTATAATAATACTGTGTATGACCTGAATATACTTTGTCTGCAAGTGTTTTATCAAACTTAACTGGATGAAGAGTTTCAGCAACTACACAAACTGTGTGTGTCAAATAAGTTCCTCTCAAGGAACTGCAGGGTCACAGAAAAATATCTTTTCTGGAACTGTTTTTGAGGGTTTTTTTTCCCCAGTGGACAGGTCTGACAGTGTTTTGCAGTGCCCCCTGGGTGCCAAAGTCAAGATCAGATAGAGGAAACAATTTAGCACCACCTGGAGGTAAACACCCAGTTTTCAAGTTTCTTTTTGAGCAACATTTACTTGGCTTTACTTCTTACTTCATTTAATTTGTATTTATTTACAACATAATTACTTCAAATTGATTCCTGCATACTAACACACCAATGGAGAGATAGAAACAGACCAGTATAAACACGTTGGCATCCAGTCTCACTAACCCAGGATTAATTTCTCAAATTTGTTGTTGTTTTTGTGGACTTACTGGACATACAAATTCATGTACACACAGATATGTGCTGTGTGTACATGTATGCATATGTTCATATAAAATCCAAGACATGAAACTCTTATACATCGAGAGACAATGTGCAGATGTGTCCCTGACCTCTCTGCGGGGAAGGGTGAGAGAAAAGAACATCTCCCACAGGGGTGTAGACACTGTC